ATAGGAAACAGTATTTCATTTGGGTTTTTAGTTTTTATATTTTGACTACTAATATGGTTGGGCATCTTCTCATGTGTTCACTAGTCACTGAAATTTCTTCTCCTATTCAAGCCAATAGCCCATATGTAGTCTTTCCTCATTGGCTCACAGAAGTACTTTCTATGTAATTCTCTTTCAGTAATTTATTTTTCAAATATTTTCTTATGGATTCTGGTTTGTCTTTATGCTTTCACAAAGCCTTTTTTTTTTTTGGCTGAACAGAAGTTCTTAATCTTAATGTACTCAATTTTCTCAATCCTTTCCTTTATGGTTTTGCTTTCTTAAGTATAAGAAACCATTTCGTGTATATTTCCCTGTGCTATACAGTATAATCTTGTTTATCTATTCTACAATTTTAAAATCCCAGTCTATCCCTTTCCTACATTGAGGTCATAAAGATACTCTTCTACACTGTCTTCTAAATTTTATAGTTTTGCTTTTCATATTTGAGTAGTTAACCCACCTGGAGTGAACTTTTGAGATGAGGATTGCAATCTCACCATATTTCCTTAATTAAAAAGCCTAATATTTCTCAACTCATCTAGAGTATAATCTACATCACAAATCAAATTTTCATGTATGTGAGGGCCTGTTTCTGAGCTCTCTGACCAATTTGTCCATTCTTTTCCTCCAGGGTCTAAATTGCTACAGTTTAATAATAAATACCTCTTTCTTAAGACATGAGATGTCATGATTATTTCTGGTACATTGTTCCTTCATATATATTTTAGCAACAGCTTAACATTTTTTCCATTAAAAAATTCCTTAGAATTATTTCTACTGGACTTGTACTGAATGTATAAATCAACTCAGAGAAAATACTCAATTAAGCAAACTACTGAGTTTTCTAATCCATGAACAAGAGGTTTCTTTGCCTTTTCCATAAGTTTTCTTTAATATATTTCAATAAAATTAATTTTTCTCCACTGAGGTCATGCCTAAATTTGTTAGGCAAGTTCTTGCCTTTACCAAAATAAATAACTTGTAAATTATATTTTCTCTATGTAGACACATTGAAATAGATGTTATATTTTATGTTAATTTTATATCTAGCAAATTTACTAAAATCTTATATTATTTCTAATAATTTATCTGTAAGTATGTTTGAGGTTTTTTAAATAGACAGACACATCACCTGTGAATAATAAGAGTTTTATTTCTTCCTTTACAATTTATTTCTTCTATTTCTTCTTCCTGCCTTCCAGGACAACGTCAGATGCAATCAGTAACTGATTTTCAAATGTTAAATCATGTTTGCTTTATTGGCTAAACTCAGCTTGGTATCTCTGTTATGTTATTGGTTACAGTTTGCTAGCATTTTGTTAAGGATTTTTTTGCATTATTTTTATAAATAGGATAAGCCTATTCATCTCCTCATTCTTCATTATTTGGTTTTGGTACAAAGGCTGTATACCTCATTACTTCATACATTCACACTCTCAAGGTTTTACTGTATGCCTCGTGTCAGAGCTGTACTACTTCCATTTTTGTCTTCCGAAATACATAATATGCGACTGGAGGGATTTGTTCCAGTTTGGCATAATTGATAAAATCTTGGATCTTATCTTTATTTCCTTTTTCTTTCTTTCTCCCTTCCCTTCTCCTTTCCTCCCTCTTCTGCTGTTTGTTACTCATGGTGATTTATTTTCCTGTGAGTTTTGTACTCTGAAATTGTAAGCTTCTCCTTCTTGAAACTTTAACTTTCATTTAGGCTTTGACTGCAGTTGAATGCCTCAATGCTTTTTTTTTCCTTGTAAAAGACAGCAATAATGATCAGGCTGCTGTGATCATAATTTCTCAGAGAAAATTTTTTTTCTTCCCTTCCACTCAGCACCAAGGTTTGACACTAGCAATTTCCCATGAGGTCCCTCAGGTGGAAGACTAGGTTTATTTTTACCTTATAGATCAGGGTAGCCCATGGGGCTCTAGCTTTAAGATGGAGTTTGCCAATTAGACAGCCACTTTGGGTGGGCCCTGGGATTTGCCTACCGTAACCTAAAGCAATACCAATTACAGTATAGTCATAATATAGAGAACACTTAGGATAAATATGACATTATGATAGAGAAAGGATAGAAGCCAGACATTAAAAGGTATGTAACTTTATAATTCCATTCAAATGACATTCTAGAATTGAACAAATTATATCGTCAGAAAACAGATTGAATGGTTTTTTTGGGTTCAGAGTGACTGCAAAGTTCTATAAGGGAACTATTTTTGAGGTACTGAAAGTGTTCTATATCTTAATTGTGGTTGGTGGTAATTATTCATGAAACTGTTAACCTGAACACATTTGAAATTGGTGCATTTTATTGTATCCAAATTATTTCTCATTAATGTTGATTTTAATATCTGAAATATGGATATACAGTGATAAAATTACCAAATCATACACTTAAGATCTACACAACGTACTCTATGTCAATAAAATAATTTTAAAAAAACTCCTTAGGAAGTTGAATTCTAAAAAATGATTAAGAGTTTTTACTACCACCCTTACTAGCATCAATATCAATTTAAAATTAATGGAGCCCTTATCAGAGCTGGCAAATCTGCATAATAAGGCAGCTTTAGGACAGCAGTCCTTGGTCAGGTCACCATTTAGTTTTTCCTGCTGATGAAAATGTAGTTCTATAATGGAAGGCTATTTTTAAGTTAATATACAATGGGCAAGAAAAGATGGTTATCTACGTATTATTGATCTTGGCATCTAAATTTAGGCCATTTCAACTATCCTGTTTCTATTACATGTTTATTCAGTTATGACTAAAAAGAAATCATGTCAATGTGAGTCACCAGTTGTTACTTCTAAGGTCCCAAAGATTTTCAAGAAATGAAATATGCTTCTTTTTTGGGGGGGGGTTACATGCAGAAAGAAGATTTTGGTGCAGTGTGATAGAGATAGGGTCTTCTTGTAAATTCACGGTCCCTCAAAACAATTAGAACGCTGTAGCAAAAGCTCACAGTGCTAAACCTCAAAGTGCCAACAGACAAGTATAGCTTATTTTTTCAGTCCTTTCCCTATCTTCACTCTCTAGTCTTACTAGGTCTGACCTTTCCTTTACCCTTGTATTCTATGCCAGTCTCCCTTCACTATCTCAGATAATGTTCTAATTTTATTCTTCTCATTTAACTCTACTCTCCAATTTTCATCTTAATATCCTTTGAGTGATTCAATTCAGTTCAATTTCTTGGCTTCTTCTAATCTGCAGTGCTGGGCTCATCCCTATACATATTAAAAATCAACCAGATATTGAAACTTGTCATTGAAGAGATTACAAGCTAGTTGGGGGAAATTTGTGGGTAAATAATGATAGAGATACAAAAGGTACTACTGACTCAGTGAAAAGAAGGGCCCTCAGCCCTGCTGAGAGAGTCCAAGAAGGCTTTGTGGAGGAGAGAGATGACATCTAAACAGAGCCCTGTAAGGTGAACAGGATTAGTGGGCATACAAGGGCAACCAAGAGTCAAAGGCAATGGCATTCAAGGTAGGAAAAAACAGAAAGAGCAAAGGCATGGGGAGCCACAAGATCCCTACAGTTCACTGAAAAGTTAGTCGGCTTCCCAGTCCCATCTCTCACTGTACATTTTAGCATTTTATAGCTTTTTGGTAAAAAATTTTTATCAACTTATAAATATTTTTAAAGTAGGAAAAGTGCAATCATTTGTATTTGTTTCTATGGTGTCTCTTTAACACTGCAAACTCTGTGGTTCATCACTGAAATGTTCTAGCATGGTTTCTAGAGAGTACAAAGTCTGTAATCTTCTCAGAAGAATTTAATGGCTTAGAAGTATTTGATAAAGTTTACTTGGTATTTTGTATCTGGCTCGTAAATAAATATCACAATGTGGCAGTGGAAAGAAAATAAGAAAACATATTCAAATCACTTGCATTATAATAAACAAAATAAAGAAAATAAGCAACAAAAAGATGGCATTATTTAAGCAAAGGTTTCCGTTCTAACCTCTATCTCCCCTAGATACTATCCATCTTTATGTCTCTCCTCAGTGTTACAAATACTAACATTTCTATATACAAAGAATATTTTGAGAGGACCTTTCAAACAGAGGAGGATTTCCACATCCTGGGGATTTTGTGTGTGTGTGTGTGTGTGTACACTTAGGTTAGACTGAGCATGGATATGGTCTTTAATTGAATGTCTTCTAAGCACCTTATGATTTTGGGTTTCAATGACAATGACCATTACTGTAGATTTGAGAATCAGAAACCAAAGGACATAAATAAACTGAATAATTTTAAAGTTCTGGTCAAAATGGAGTCTATAAACAAGTTGTTAAAAAGTTTTATATTTCATACTTCTCCTATTCTTCTGGCTCCTCTAATCACCATTAAGCAATCTCCCTTTTAAATATACCTGACTTCCATTTTTACGTTACTCTGTCTCTGTTACTGGTAGCTAAACATAGAGAGAAGTAGTTTATTATTTAAACTGTTACATCTTTTTAGACATTTTAGTTGTCTACCATATAAATCATGCAAACAAGTACTACTACAATTTAAAGATATATACATTTAGTTTTTTGAAATATTAAGAACTTTGTATCAAATGATCCTTTTCTAAAAAAAAAAGTGGATTTAAAGACAATATAAATCACCGTGTGCACTATATTTTATAAACATCACACAGCCCCGCGGTTGGTTCTCTTTTTCTGCCCTTTAAAATGAATCACAAAATATTGCAAGTGTTAGGGGTTAAAAACATCCACGGTTAAATATTATGAAGTGAGTCCAAACTGCAGAATCTGTGCCTAAAATATGTTCTATGTTTCAGAATTAATTTTTTTCAAATGATTATGTTCAAACTAGCATTCAACATACAAAATACACGGCACTAGAGAAGTTCTTCTGAGCACAGAGCTAGTTAATAAGACGGAATATTTCATTTCACACATGAAGCAGGAAGGTGCAGATAAGCATTATTTTCCACCAAAAAACAAACCTTAAGGAAATAGTTGTTATTGTTATTGCAGTTGCCAGACACTCCTTGCAATTCAGCCACAGTGTTCTAAAATGGTTGACAATAAAAATTAAAGAAAGCTTTTTCCCCACTAGAGAGAGCAGCCTAATGATAAAGGGTAGGAAAAACACTGAAGTTCTGGTGCCTGCTGCAACACAAACTTTCGAAGACTAAGAGAATACCCCCAACTCTTAGTTTCTCAATCTTATAAACACAGGAGAAAGCCAGTTCACATTATTAAGAGGCCATCCATAATAACTGCAATCTCTTGTTCACACAACAGAAGCTGTTTCAAAACAGGAACAGTAAACAGTATGAGTCAAATTTAATGTTATCCCTTCAATGCTTTTCACATAAAAATTACATTTTTATAAACCTTTAACACTTAAGCAAACTATAGCTTCCATTTTATTTCTGCCTCTAATTATTACATATTAACACAAGCAATAAAAATGTATATCCACATAGGTAGCTGCTCTAAATTGTATTCAATACTTTAAAAGGTTCTTTAAAATAATGTTGTCATGATATAGTTACAGTGATAATAATGTATCATAAGAAAAACAAATTATGAAAGAAAGATTAAATTTTATTTTAAGATAAGGGGCCTCAGTTTCTGGAGTGATGATTAATCTTGTTATGAACTACTACCCAAAGAGGCTTTGAAATGCCATCTATAATCTAAGACTTTAAAACTGTAATAAATATTATATTTTAATGTTTAAAGAAGCAAAAGCAAAATAATCATATAATTTTAAAAGTGCATGTAAAATAACTCATTTCAATGTGAATGACCGTATGTAATTTCCAATTCAAAAAAGTGACACAGTACCAGTTCCTACTTATTTCTAGTCTGAGCCTACAGTGTTTCACATTGCATATTGCTCTTTGATAGAAATAGATAACCAAAATATACATACATGACCCATGGTACACAAAAAGATACACCAGAATTACATGACGTCACCATTAAAAGGCTAGACACTGATGGTTATGGTATGATAGGAGATTAAATTTCTTATGGAGAATTAAAATCTAGTTGAAAAATGTACCATACCCCTAGCATTTCGTGGGGTAGTGCTGACTGCCTGAGGGGTCTACTGAAATCCTCCTTGGTTACCTTTTAGATTGTTTAAAAAAAAGAAACAAAGAAAGAAAGAGAAGAAAAAGAAATGAATAATTATTCTACAAATCCAAAGTACAATCACCTAATCAAAGATACATTCAGAACTGCATTTAAAGTTTTTCAGTGGTTCGGATTTACATCACCCTCTTCTTTGTAGGATCCTACCTTTAAACTTTAGTCTTTAGGCAGAGCCATTTCAACTTAAAAAAAAATCAGACTGTTTAACAGAGAAAGAACAGAAACAGGAATGCAGTTCAAATTGAATTAGCTGTTTGCTTATTTTAAACTCTTCTAGTTTAAGTAGTTGAAGGAAGAAAAGCCAGGAAACGCAGAAATTTAAATAGAGTTTGGGGATTATCTATTAGAGTATGACAGAATTTCTTAAAGCATTAAAATAGTTATATGTAAGCACACACAATACATGGTAGTATTCTTAATCCTAAATATGGTTCTGATAAGAGGCTCACTGTACTTTTGCAATTTCGGGATATATTTCTCACATTGCAATGTTTTCCCTGTAGGCAATTCAAGCAAGCAACTCTCCTCTGTCAATGTGACAGGTTCCAAGTTAGAATCAACCTTGTATGATTTGACCAAAACCAGAGCTATCTATCCTTCAGTAGACAATGTTGACCTAAGTGCTGGCTCTGGAAATCAGTTGTATGAACTTGGCTGTTCTGCATTTCATTAGAGGTTTTCCTGGCTGGCCCAGGGAATGTCACAGGGGATACTGTCAAATAAAAATGATTCTAACTTTGAAATCACAAGATGATTCTATAAGTGAAAGAAAAGTGAGAAACCAAGTGACTGATTACACAACTCGGGATCAATAAACTGTTCAATTACATATAAAATTAAATCAATTACTCAAGGACCATTAACTCATTGGGTAACCAATATTGGTTCTTCTCATTTCCACTATGTCATTTACTTTTCATTAACAGAGAGAGAATAGATAAAAAATAAGGACATAACATTCAAATCAATCAATTTAATAATATCTGGTAGCATTAGTAAAAAAAAATGTATCTAAGTAGATAAACGGGTTTGCACAAAAGTGATTTTTTATTATTTATACATCTTTCACCACTGCTATGCACAGAAAATTAACGGTCAGTTTTAGTTGGGCATGCTTTGGTGAGGCAGTGTGTAACACATAAGAAACAGAAAAATATATGTCAGGGAGGAACATGAGAGAAAGACAATGGAAAAGGCTCCTTGACCTTTTCAAAAAAGTGAAGGTTACTTGGAGTAGCAAAATAGCAAGCACCTGCTTTCTATTTCTACAACTTCAGACAGAAGAAAAGCTTAACCTAAAGCTAAACTCTGGTTTTTGTTTTTTCGTAAAATAGCTGTATACTCAGCTATTCTTCCCTTTAAGCACTATCTTCACAGGCTACCTATGGATTAAGTATTTACCTAGAGTAAAATAATTCTCCATGGATTCAATCCCCCTATTATTAGAAATAAAGAACAAAGAACTACAAACCTAAGTATTACAAGAAACTCCATAACCTGAAACAGGAATCTTCCTTCCAACAGCTCTTGTTCCAGTTACTCCGTATGTGCCTGAACTCAGACAGGCCGATCAGCCCACTCCACTCAAAATCAGCAGCGTGCTGCAGAGTCGAGGCTTTGGAGCCAGGAAGACCCTATTCCCACCCTAAATCTGGCAACTACTAGCTGTACCACTAGAAAAAGCCTCAATTACTGCATTTTTAGGGAAAAAAAAAAAGAATCTCCTCTGTTTGCTGTAAAGATTACATGGAATTATGTAGGAAAATAGTGCCTAGCACTATTTATTTATCCCCCTTACCCTGAGAATATTTGCTCAGGTGACAATCAACTCTGCCTTCCTTACAAAAACAGGAAAACAAACAAACAAAAATCCAAATGATGTGCTCCTAAGTATAAACGTTGAATGACAAATATTCCTTTCGCATTTACTCAAGTTATTAAATCAGAGAAAATTGTTACGTTAAAAAAAGCATTAGCTGCTTGAGTTGAAAACCTGAAGGTTTTCAATTCCTCAAACCCTCAAATAACTGGATCAATTTCTCAAAATAACTGGAGGAAGTATGTAGTATGTGATCTAAAAATTTCAGTTTGGGAGCTTTACTTAGAGAACTATCCTATTTTCCATCTTTCCTTGTTAGATTTGATGGAATATTAGAAACTGAAAGGAATTTAGAGATTTAGCCCAATATCTGCACTTTGAAGCAAAGACAAGGGAACCCATAGAAACTGGAAAATTAGGCCTCCTCACCTTCCACCACTTGATGTCACCCGTATGCCCCTGAACCTCAGATCCAAATTCTAGCAGCGTGAGCAGGTAAAAGCCAAACCTGCAGAGAACGAGTCTACAATCCTAATTCAGATTTACAGCCAAAGCTAATCAGTGTTTCTCATAAAACACAAAATACTAGTGCAGAGAATTGAAAATTAGGTAAGAGGAAAGCTCAAATATTTGTAGGAATTGCTTTTTTGGTTTCCAAATCCAAATTAACATTTTCATATATAATATCTCAGTATAATGGAAAAAACAACAACTTGCCATTTCAAATGGATTTTGCATGTGAAAAACTAAATCAACTAAATAGAATTTTGAGACTAATTCATTCACATGAAGAATTTCTAATATTTACTCTCAGATCAACAGTTAACTGAAGCACCATAATAAAGAGAGAATACATCCTCATTATACTATAAAGAGATGAAAAATCAATATATATTTAGGTTAAAAGATTCCATCCTAAAAATACACGAAAAAACATTTGAATGCCTCTTATAAATCTTCACTAGGTCCTGGCTAGAAACCAAAAAATGTTTTGGAAAAAGAATATATTCAGATGAGTAGAGGTTGCACATGTGAAGTTGCACTGCCCTTGTATCAGCTGATATAAAGAAGATTTTTACCTAAATATTTACTATGTTTATGGAGCATGAAATACTGCAACTAAATTGTTGATGGATCCTTTGCCATGCCAGTATGAAACATATGCATATTTAAAAATGTTTATAATAAAGTGTGTTGTCCCATTATATCAATGTACATTTGGTATTTACATTAGAAATAGAACAGCATCTGTATTACATTACAATACACAAGAGTTTCAGAGAGCTGTTTTCACTTGGGGCTTAGAGTCTATTCATTTGCTTGATCTTCTACAGAGAGCAGGGTGCAAAATTATTCCAGTATGTGTCTACTCTATGGAATATGTGCTGGTGGAAAAGCTTTGTTCTGCATCATGTTAGCACAAATCATACTGAGCAGATCCAAAGAACTTTCTCTTCCTGGGGGAAAAAACCTGAAAACACTCAGCAATTTTCAGTACTTTTCTGTCTATGTTCATGTATATATGTGTGTGTTTTTTAACTCAGTGTTTACTGGTTTTTTGAAAAGGCATTACATACTTACTGTGGAAAATTTAGGATAAAATTGGAAAAAATATAAAGCAGAGAGGGAAAAAGACCTAGTTCTAACAACAAAGATAGCTACTACTATTTGCATTTTGCTATTTTTACCCTTTTTTGTTTCAGTGAATTTCTCTTAATAGTGTAATAAGAGGTGACTTCCTGGATCCCGAAGTCTTCATACTGTAAATAGGATACTATTACCTAATTGGTAAGTTAATAACAAACGCAAGTAATATTTCTTTTCTGTGAGGATGATCATCAACACATTCTCCTTGAGAGACTGCAAAGCCCTGTCATACTGCTACATGGTAAAGAGTTTTATCAAGGAGAGATGTAGTGAGAAGAAATGTAGGAGAGAGAATGTTTGCAAGTGCCACTTACCTCATCATCGTCGGCATCGTACTGAGCATAGTGCTGTTCAAGCAGCTCTCTCTGGCGCCTCTCTTGTTCCAGCGTCTGGCTTATCAACTGGGCAACCTCACTCACTTGTCCCGGTTTTTCTCGCCCAATAACAAATCTGCAGGAAGGTTCAGAAGACTAACATAGTTAGACTCTCCAGCAAAAAGAAACACTAAGAAAAGTAAGCAAATTTCATATCTCATCGGTCCATCAAGTCTCATAAAAAATAATTATCACCTCTAGTCTTTAGAAGATATGCCTGGGTAGAAGGAGAGGTTAGCTGAGCAATTAAAATGATTTTTGCAGATATAACCCAAAGGAAAAGAAGGAAAAAATAAAGGACCATAAAAAATTATTACTTTGAGAGAAACAAAGCAGATGTAATCCATTCTATAGTACTTTACACATTTTTGATGCCCTACAAAATGAAAGCAAGCTCATAATTTTCTGTACCATTGAACTTAAGAATCATTTCAATCATTATGTCCTCTTTATAATGCAAAAATGACTTCAAAACATTTTGAGGTATAGTATAACCCTAGATGGGTAAACAGAGAGGCACTGGCTTTTTGCTAAGTTACTGTCACTCTGGATAAAAAAAGAAGGGGAAGCAAATGTAGGGTTTTTTGGTGCTTGTTTTTAAAATAAGACACTAAAATAAGGAGAGGTGGTAAATTAATTCACTTCTTTTGGAGAAAGAGATGACATGAGGAAGGATGTGGCTTTAAGAAATAAAGGATCAAGGGGAAAAATATATGTTGATATTAATCCCTGTAAGAAAGAAAGTATAAAGAAAAAAAACCAGAAAAGACGTATTTATTGCCAGCTAGTCATTTACAATACATCCTTATCAATACCATGATTCTTATTCAATAAATTAATATTCATTTTTTAACATCTTTTCACACTAATATATGGTTCTATTTTTCTAAAAATAAACATAATGTCCCCAGGATACAGTTCCTATATATTATTTAACTTCATTATTTTGGATGTAATTCCGTTTAATCTTGCTTCTACACTTAATTGATACTATCCTCTGATTATAATATGTTGCTTTTTCAATTATAATTTTAAATGAAATTTAAATGATAATTTAAAATCAATTCTACCTTTGTTCAAAAACACTAAAGGTCAAAATTTCTATACTTAGATGTTAGTAATTAAACATCATTTTAGAAATATTTTCAGTTATTTTGTGATAGAAAAAGATACTCGATACGATTTCTATCTTCTGAAATGTAATGAAACTTATTTTGAGGCCTAGCATGTGATCTATCCTGAAGACTCTTCCATGTGCATTTGAAAAGAAAGTGTATTCTGCTGTGTTTGGATGGAATGTTCTAGATATGCAGCTATTAAGTCCATGTGGTTTGTCATTTAAGGCCAGTGTTTCCTTACTGATTTACTGTCTGGATGATCTGTCCATTGATGTAAATGGGGTGTTACTAAAGTTCCCTACTATTATTGTGTTTACTGTCAATCTCTCCCTTAATGTTTGTTAATATTTTCTGTGTGTATTTAGGTACTCCTATGTTGGGTGCATACATATTTAAAATTGTTACATCTTCTTGTTGGACTGATCCTTTCATCATTATGTAACATCCTTCTTTGTCTCTTGCTGCAGTCTTTGTTTTAAAGTCTACTTTGCCTGATACAAGTATTGCTACCCCAGCATTCTTTTCATTTCTTTTTGCATAAAATATATCTTTCCACCCCCTCACTTTCAGTCTTTGTGTGTCTTTAGATCTGAAATGGCAGCATACATATGGGTCTTGTTTTTTTAATCCATTCAGCCACTTTATGTCTTTTGATAAAAGCATTTAATCTATCTTCACTTAAATTAATCATTGATAAGTATGTACTATCTGCCATTGTGTTTATAGTTTGGGTGTTTTGTAGTTCTTTTTGTTTCATTTTTCTTCTTTTGCTCTCTTTCCTTGTGATTTGATGACTGTCTTCAGTGTTATGTTTGGATTCCATTTTCTCTTTTTGTGTGTGTTATCTGTGATAAGTTTTTGGAGATTCATCCATAACAACATATATATATGGATATATATATGTGAATATTATAAGTTGATGATCTCTTAAGTTTGAACACTTTCTAATAACCATGCATTTTACTCCCCTCAAACCACATTTAATGTTTTTGACATCATATTTCACATCTTTTGGGTTTTGTAAACTTTAGTTACTTATGGTGGATACTGAAATTTTTATTTTTGTCTTTTAACCCTCCTACTAGCTTCATAAGTGGTTGATTTACTATATATTTGCCTTTACCAGTGAGACTTTTTCTTTTGTAATTAAAGTTTTTCTAGTTGTGATCTTTTCTTCTCTATTTAGAAAAGTCTTTTAAACATTTCCTATAAAAGCTGATTTACTGGTTTCAACTCTTTTAGCTTTTAGTCATCTATAAAATTCTTTCTCTCTTCTTCAAATCTGAATGATAGCCTGACCAGGAAGAGTATTCTTGGTTTTCTTGGTTGTAGGATTTTTCCTTTCATCACTTTGAATATATGGTGCCACTCCCTTCTGGCCTGCTGAAGTTTCTGCTGGTAAGTCAGCTGATGGTCTTCGGGGAGTTCCCTCATACATAACTAGTTGATTTTCTCTTGCTATTTTAAAGACTTTCTATCTTTAATTTTTCCCATTTTAATTATAATGTGTCTTGGTGTGGATCTCTTTGAGTTCATCTTGTTTGGGACTCTCTGTGGTTCCTGGACCTGGATGTCTGTTTCCTTTCCAGGTTACGGGTGATTTCAGCTATTATTTCTTCAAACAAATTCTCTGCCCCTTTCTCTCTCTTCTCCTTCTGGGTCCCCTATAATACTGACATTAGTATGCTTGATGTTGTCCCAGAGATCTCTTAAAGGATCCTCATTTTTAAAATTCTTTTTTTCTGCTCAGCTTGGGCGATTTACACTACTCTGTCTTCGAGTTCATTGATCTCCCTGCATTTATTTAAAAGTGTTATGTTGAAGTACATATATCTCTTCATTCAGGCAGCAAATGTGGGTAGCATTATAGCACCCAGCTACTGACATCCTTAAAGCCTTGTAATCTGGTATAATTTATAGTACAGATTTGCAACAATAGGATGCCATTGTGATAAGTATGGTCCAGAGGGAAAGTACACAGAAGTGGAACTAAACTATTTTCTTTGTCTTATTTTCCTCATGTGAAAATTAGTATCTACCTCATATGTCTAAAGGAGTGACAGAAAAATTAAATGTGGTATAGACGTAAAAATAAGGCACTATTATTATGATGATAAAACTAATAAAATCTCCCATATCTCCCATTTAGAAAATACATAACACTCAAATTACCTTTCTATAAGTTCTAAATGTTTGGTCTATTCTTATGCAGTCTTTATAAATATTATGTGCATAATCTAGCATATACAGAATTGAGTGGAAAATATAAAATTTAAAGTAAGATTATTATTTCAAGCATGGATTCAGAGTATGGATGTATTGTGTCAGTATAATTTAGGGGTTAAAAGTGTATGTGAAAGTGAAAGATGGTTTTGTTAGAACAAATCCACTGAAACATAAATATGACTTACTGGCCCTGTGACCTTGAGTGTGTGAATATTCCTAATCCTTAGCTCCCATATTAGCAAAACATATATAATAACTATAACAAACAAATATTACAGATAAAATCCATATAAAAAGCGTGACTAAACACCTGGTGCCTAGAGAGTATTTAATATATACTTACTGTTTTGTAAATCTAGATACTATATTAATATCTACATAGGGCTGAGTACATTTCAAAGTACTAAATGTATACATTGTCCCAATTACCTCTTATTTGCTCACACTAGTTTTGAAAACTGAGTAGGTTTTTGTGAGTCAACCACAGGAAAAAGATAAAATACTTGCACTGACATGTGCTCTGAAATAGAAAATTGCATTGAAACAGAAAATTACAGATACTGTGATCACTTTATACTGAATTTTAAAAATCATCAAATAAAAATAAGGTCAGCAACAATCAGCCCCTGTAAAATATGTGATCAAGTTAACTGACATTTCTGCACAATTATTATTTATATTTTAAACATTATCCCCAACTGAAAGACAACACATGCAGTTAAATCAACCTGTTTGTAAACTTTAAAGTTTCTTTAAAAGAAAAACATTTTTTCTTGTTACTTTCTAAATGTTTTTTCCTTACTTCAATAAGGAATGGTGTGCTCTTTTTTTAGTGATAAACAATGAGGTAAAAAGATGTATTGTGCGTTTAAGTTAAAATTAGGTATTTTCTAAGCTTTATGATTGACAAATAATGGCAATACTTAAAAAATCTACAACTAGGGTATATGTTTTTAGCTTGGCTTGTTTCTAGTTTTTAAAACAGTCATCTTGTTTCAACATGAATTATTTCACTAAGAACTGCCCCATCTCCTCCTCAGACTGAAATAAAATAGGCAAAAGCAGATAAATCAGTTTTTCCTTTCCTTTTCATCTATTATCAGACAAAGCAATGTCAATATTCTGTCCTTTGTAGTTTAGATGAAGAGATTATATGGAATTCATTTGATTAGTTTATTGAATTCTCTGGTGAACTGTCAAACAAAAACTAAACAACTATAAAATTGTATTTACAATTTGCTGAATTGTAGTCATAAAGATCCTACATGTTCTGTGTGAAGGATGAGAGATTATGTTGAAAAATAATGATTTATGTATGAACGTTTTGATTTTCAGACATAAGCTATTTTAATAAAAGTGATATATTAGTCAAAAATGGCACTTACATGACATCAACATTTTATAATTATCAATGTGGAATTAATTAAGCTAATCTAAGAAAGGGAAAGCTAAACCAGCATATAGTTATTTGTTCTTATAAAATCAATTCTTTCATTCAAATATTCTTTAAACAGATATTCATTGTATGCACACCAAAAATTGAACTATATATCTTTAAAAAACAGAAAGAAAAATAGATGCATGACATCTATTTTCATTTTAAATCACAAGATGACATGGTGCTTTTAAACATTTTGGTAAAAGCTATCTCATTTTTTTCTATGTCTGATCATATTTTATGGTCTGAACTTGATAACGCTGAAAATATTTAATCTAATTCCAGTGGTAAAAG